TAAAATGTTTTTTATGTCTTTGATCTAGAAAAAAAAAATTATTGAAATTAAAAATGCAGTAAATTATTAATATTTATTTAATTTTTTTTTTTAAAGAAAACCAAAAAAATTAATCAAATTTTATTTTATGTTTTCTACTGATAATCTAATTTATTTATTATTTCTGACTAAAAACAACTTATACTACTGATAAAAATAAACATTTAGAAAGTCTGACTTAATATTTACCTTTACTACTGATAAAAATTTAAAAGTCCGACTTAATATTTACGTGTACTACTGATTTTCTAATTTACTCATTGTCTGACTAAAACCAACTTGTACTACTGGTAAAATTACGACAAAAATTAAAAATTCTGACGTATTATTTATCTTTTCTACTGATTTTCTAATTTAGTCATTATTTCAGATAATAATTACTAAAAAAAAAAATAATGCAATTTTTTTTTAATCTAGGAAACTTGAATTTTGAAAACTTACTTTTTTTGTTAATTTATTTAAAATTTTTGAATTCAATTAATATTCAATTCCAGATTGAAGGAAGACTTTATCTCACTAAACTTAGTTCTCTTTATCTTTAAAATTTAAATGAAGTTTCGCGTTTAGTTTTTGAGATTCTCTCATCCAAAATCCCCTTTTGCTGAACCAATAAACTGGTCGAATAATAAAAGACAGTTGAAAATCTTTTGCGTGAATATCTTTTCACTTCACCGACCTTCGTTTAACCTAAAGTTTTTTACGAAAAGAGATTCTCCTAATGCAGTTTTCTTGTTGGTGAAAAGAGAGAGAGAGAGAGAGAAAGAAAGAATATCTCTTATTCCCGTTCCAATGACAAACAACCGCGAGGCAATACTTTTTCTCTCAAATATATAAAGCAACTGTAGTCGATTTACATTATCGTCTTTCTAAACATATAATTTTTTCCCCTCCCTTTCCTCATTCAAATCGAATTTATATTAAATAATAATATTATTAAGATCATAAATTTTTTTTTTAATTATTTAAATTATAATTTTTCAACTTTAAAAATTATTTTTGATCGATATTAAAAAAAAGAAGAAAGAAATAGTAAATACGATAATCGAGGATATTGAAAAAGAATATAAATAAAGAGGAAAACAAGTTTCTTTGACATGGAATGTTTCAAAAGAGATAAAAATAGCTCTCCACTTGAGATTTTACTTCTCGTCTCTGGGAAATCTTCTTTCTTTTCTAGCACACCATATTTCATGGGTGACTTCTTCGGTGGTTTTCTTGTCGCCTCTTCGCGTTTCTCCCCACCCCCCCCCCTTTTCCCTTATAGTAGCACGCAACTCCCGTGACAAAAAAAAAAAAGAAAAAAAATCCTTTGACATTACCGGTGTCAGGTAATTTGACGAGAAAAATCGCGATACGGGGCGAACAAGAATGGAAGAAGCCATTGGAAGCGAGGGATGCGAAAAGTCGCGGTTAACCCGAAGGGAGAGCGAAAGACTTTGGGTGGGGTGTCTACAAGAGAAAGAGAGAACGACAGAGAGCCACCGGTTGGGCAGAGTGATATTGATTTTGCAGCAACAACCGGCAGCAGCATTTCAAAGTCGTCTGCTTTCTCTATCTCTCTCTCTCTCTCACTCTCTATACACAATTTTAGTATCAAGTGAAAAGGACTATTCTTTTTTTAATTACCAAATTATAACACTTTTCTTATTTTCTCATTGCTCTAAAAACAGAGGGGAAAATTATCTGCAATTTTTAATTTCCTGAAAAATTTTTTTTTATATTACATATGTGACTCTCTAAATTTAAAGGGACCTTAGCTTCCAACAAATTTTAGGTTATGTTTAGTGATTGTTTTACATTGATTAAAAGTTCATTTCTAATTATGTAAATAATTAGAATATTAAGTCAGACTTTTTAATTTATTTTTTGGTAATTTTATTGATAGTACAAGTTGGTTTTAGTCAGACAATGAATAAATTAGATAATCAGTAGTAGACGTAAGTATTAAGTCCGACTTTTGCAATATTTTGTCAGTAGTAAAGGTAAATATTTAGTCAGACTTTCTAAATGTTTATAATTTTTTCAGTAGTATTAGTTGTTTTTAGTCAGATATAATAGATAAAATAGAACATTAGTAGTACAAGTAAATATTTAGTCAGACTTTTTAAATTTTATCAGTAATGAAGGTAAATATTCAGAGACTTTTTAATTTTTTTCTGTAATTTTACCAGTAGTATAAGTCAGTTTTAGTCAGACAATGAATAAATTAGATAATCAGTAGTAGACGTAAATATTTAGTCGGACTTTTAAAATATTTTGTCAGTAGTAAAGGTAAATATTTAGTCAGACTTTCTAAATTTTTATCAATTATAAACATTTAGAAAGTATACTGAAAATACTACTGAAAAAATTTTTCAGTAGTATAAGTTGTTTTTAGCCAGATATAATAGATAAAATAGAACATTAGTAGTACAAGTAAATATTTAGTCAGACTTTTTAAATTTTATTAGTAGTAAACGTAAATATTCAGAGACTTTTTAATTTTTTTCTGTAATTTTACCAGTAATATAAGTCAGTATTAGTCAGACAATGGATAAATTATAAAATCAGTAGTACAAGTCAATATTCAGTCGGATTTAAAAATTTTTATATCAGTAGTATATGTAAATGTTTAGTCAGACTTTCTAAATGTTTAGAATTTTATCAGTAGTTTAAGTTATTTTAAGTCAGACATGATGAATAAATAACAAGATCATAACAAGATTATGAAAATCAGTATTATTGAAAAATAACAACTATTTTTGTAATTAATTGATTTAATGGTTAAGCAGATTCAATTTATCAAAATATTAATTTTTTTCCATTGATAATAATGTAATTAAATTTATTTTATTCTTTATTGTATAAATTTATACTGAACTTTAACTTTTATAGAGTCTACCTAGACTTAGTTAATATTTTATATTTTGTATTGTTACTTACGTAACTATTAAAATTTAGGAATATATTTGTACGAATGGGCCTGTCCCGTCAAATAAATGAAATGAAATAAAATGAAAAGATCAGTAGAAAAGATAAATATTCCGTTAAACGTTTTAATTTTTTTGTAATTTTACCATTGGTACAATCAAAATAAATTTATTTCATTCAAATAATCGGTTACTTTACTAATATCAAATAAATATTTACTTGAACCAAATAACGTGTAGGAAAAATGTTTTTTTATAAATCTTGGGTAACCAGTTTCACATTGTACTATCACCAAAATAAATGATAAAAAAAGATAAAAATAATTTAAACCCTTTTTTGTAAACCCAATTAGTAAATCATTAATCTCATTTTTTTTTTAAAAAAAACAAAATAACAGAAAAAAAACGTATATTGATCAGCGGCAATAACTTTTTTCCAGCATCCAATAGACCATTTCTTGGTTCAAGACCTTTATCGCGTGGCCAACGCTAAAAAGAGGGGGGGGGGCAGGCTTATCGTACACATTCCGCTTGGTCGAACGACAAGCTCATTCGGGAAATCTCGCGCCAATTCGGTGCAAGTTCACTTTTGCTTTGGGATCTTTAAGGCCATTTAACACATTAACCCTTTTGATATAATCCCCCCCCCTCCCAAAATCTTGTCTCTCCGATTAAAGTGTCATTGCTATAAGTAATAAAGTTACATGATATAACAGATAAAATATATATTATTTGTAGAAAAATTTAGGAAAAAATGTGTTTTTCACTCTTTATTTCGCACCCCGTTCTGATCCCCTTCACAAAGAAAATGAATAACATTTTTTTTTTAAGTAGAATGATGAGAGGGTCGAAAACTTTTTAATTATGAGCTTTTAAAGCTTGAGTGCCTTTTAAGCTGCGACATATTAATTACAAGCTTTTACTTTTTAAATGTGATTAAGTTAAAAACGTGATTGCAATTATTTGTATCTGCGATGATTTTTCTTTATGAAATGTAATTATTTATTTTTTTTTTTAATTATATAGTTTAGTGAAATTAACAAAAAAATAATAATATAAGGAAAAAGTCTTTAACCTGGAACAGGGATATGTTTCACCTAAAACAGCGAAAGTTTTCGCTATTCTAAAGAAACATATCGCTGTTCCAAAAATTTTTTTCGTGTTATGATTTACAGTGTCAATAATTTAATTAAATTTATAATATATCTAAATAAATAATTTAATTTATTGTTATGCGACTGTATTATAATAATTTCGTGCGAGTAAATTTATATAATTTTCAAACAAAAATTTTAATTAAAATAAAAAAAAAAAAATGTTTTCACATATTACTCAAGAATACTAAAATAACTTTTGTTGAAGTTTTGTCAATCAGAGTGACATTCTTGGAAACATAGTTGACGCGAAGACAGCACTATAAACGCTTTTACAGTATTAAACTAGTGTATACATATATATATATATATATATATATATATATATGTGTGTGTGTGTGTATATACAACTAGAGAAATGTGCAAACAAAGACGTTGAAAAGGCTCTTTCGTTAAAATGAGCTCGCTCGCTACATGGTTGATAACATCATGAAGAGCACATTTTCCAGCCAGAATTGCACAACAGAATGAGAAACAAAAAAAAAACGGTTTTTTTTTAAAACGGTCCGAAAAAAATATAATTTTTTTTTTTTTTACTAAACACTCTCCAATTCTTGTGTATAACAGAATCCCTCTTAAAGGATCGTATAAAGTCAATTTTTAGTTATTTGAAGCATCGCTTTTGCCCAATTCAAATTACATTTGCATGTCCGACACGAAAAAACATCAAAGGCTCTTTTGACTTTTTCGAAATCCAGATGGATCCTTTTGGACTAAGTAATTTCCAAAGTACCTGATCGGAATCTATTTACATTGCAATGGTTTGATTTGCTAGATATATAAAAAGCAATGCAAATACGTTAGAGACCAAGTGAAAAATAGTTTTACAATTGAAAATACGAGAAAATTTGTAATTTTTCTAAATGAAAATGAATAATTTTATTTTTTTATGTTTCAGATGAATTTTACGACGACGAATTTGTAAGTAGTTATATTCAATTGAAAATTTATTAATTTAAAATTTAATTCCTCAAGGAAAATGAATTAATAACATTTGGACGATTTAGTTAGGGGAGAGTGGGACAAAACGGAGTACCTTTTTGGAATTCTCGGTTTACAAAGAATCTATCAAATAAATTAGTTCAAATGTCGTTGAAATTTCTTCCATGAACATTAGAGAATAAGAAAATAAGGTCGATTGCATGAAAAAAATTTTTTTGATCAATTTAAACCAGCTTTTTCCAAAAAAAAAATGCAAAGTACCCCGTTTTGCCCCGATGGTGGGGCAAAACTGTGTACCATCAAGAAAATATATAAATCATGGAATATTCTTTAATTTTTTGTTCAATTATTATTATATATCACTTACATTATAGAAAATAATTAATATTCAATAAATTTAATCTAAATATGTATATTATATTAATAATGAATAACAGCAGTTAAATCATTTAAAACGAATTTTTACATATTTTTATTAATTTTTTCGATTTCGAAACATACATGTCGATTATTGTGAGATAAAATTTAAATATGTATATTTTAAATATTAAAAAAAAAAATTAAAGTTTTAATATAAAAGATGTATGTAACACCGTTCGACACAATTTTTGACCCATAAAAAAATTTATCATTTTCAGAAACTAAGACTAAAAAAAAACCCGTGTCTGGCCGTTTTGCTAGATCAAGTCGTTTGTGGCTTTTAGGGGTGAAAACAACCCCTAAATGTTATCTTTCAAAAATTATTAATATTTTATAAAACTTGGTGTCTTGGGGGGTTACTGATTATTAATCTGATGTCAGATTTTCAAAATTCAAAATGGTGGATCCAATATGGCGATCAAATTTTTAAGAAGTTATTAATTTTTTATTTTATATCTGCTATTTTGAATTTTGAAAATTTAACATCAGATTCGTCATCAGCGCCCCAAAAAACCCCTAGATACCAAGGATTAAAAAAAATTTAATAACTTTTTAAAATTTTGACCGCCATATTGAATCCGCCATTTTGAATTTTAAAAATCTGACATCAGATTAATAATCAGCGATTCCGAAAACCCCCAGATACCAAGTTTTATAAAATATTAATAATTTTTAAAAGATATCTTGTCACTTTTTATTTAGGGGCTGTTTTCACCCCTAAAAACCACAAACGACTTGATCTAGCAAAACAGCCAGACACGGGTACTTTTTTTTTGGGTCCCAGTTTCCGAAAATGTTGGATTTTTTTGTGGATCAAAAAAAAGTTAAATTTTGTCAGACGGTGTAATAGGTGACACAAATGGAAATACGTATCATGAAAAACTGGTGGTACCCCGTTTGACCCGCCTACCCTGTTTTGCCCCACTCTCCCCTACTCCAACTTTTCAAAATAATTAATTCATATTCAAAATGGTGACAAAATTATTATTATAGTAATAATTAATTAATTATTAAATTATTAGGGAAAAATTTTTTTTTTGTGCTCTGGAAATTTAAAAAACGATGAAAGGAGATGATTTTCACTGAAATGACCCACCTGTTATATAAATGAATAATATCGATTATTGTTTTTTTTTTTTTTTTTTTTCAAGAAACTTGGAACATTTTTTATTTTTCATATTTTAACGGTCATATCTATTGAGAAGTATTCTTATTGCCGCGCGTATACACTCGACAGTATTGGTTCTACTATTGGCATTACAAAGCGTTTGGGTATATCGGAACGCGATAAGGTATTTATCGACCTGTATGCAGAATGTGGAATGCAAGTACGGATCTGAAAATTGATGGTCTATTGTGCGAAAGGTGGCTTGTTCTCAGCCCCAAACGATATTGAGCGTGAACAAGCAAAAAAAGGTTCACACACAAAATAAGATCTTTAATCGTATTTCCTTAATATATCCGCAATTTTTTATTTCTATAAACACAATGCGATCACATTTCACAGGAAAAGTCAGTAAATATTATATTTTTATATTAAGTTACTATAATTCAAAAGTTAAAAGTAGACTAAATTTTTATTATTTTATCAGTAGTATAAGTTGCGTTTAGTCAGACATAACGAATAAATAAGATCAGTAGAGAAGGTACATATTAATTTTTTTTGTGTAATTTTACCAGTAGTAAAAGTTTGTTTTAGTCGGACAATGAATAAATTAGAAAATCAGTAGTACACGTAAATATACAGTCGAACTTTTTAGTTTTTATCAGTAGTAAAGGTAAATATTTAGTCAGACGTTTTAATATTTTTCTGTAATTTTATCAGTAGTACAAGTCAGTTTTAGTAAGACAATAAATAAATTAAAAAATCAGTGGTAGAAGGAAATATTTAGTCTGACTTAAAAATTTGTTATCAGTAGTAGAGGTAAATATTGAGTCAGACTTTCTAAATGTTTATAATTTTATCAGTTGTATATAAAGTTGCTTTTAGTCTGACATAATGAATAAATTAGATCGTCAGTAGAAATGATTCCTTTAGGCTATTTAATTGTTGTTATAATTTTACCAGTAGTTCAAGTTTATTTTAGTCAGACAATGAGTAAATTAGAAAATCAGTAGTATGGGTAAATATTCAGTCGGACTTTTTAAATTTTATCAGTAGTAAAGGAACATATTTAGACAGACTTTTTAATTTTTTTCTCTAATTTTAGCAAAAGTACAAGTTAGTTTTAGGCAGACAATATATAAACTAGAAAATCAGTAGTACAAGTAAATATTCACTCGTCATTTTTAAACGTTTATATTTTTACTAGTAATAAAAATCAGACTTTTTAATTTTTTAATAAAATTTCACTAGTAGTGCAAGTTGATTTTAGTCAGACAGTAAATAAATTAGCAACTCAGTAGTAGATTATTAATGTTATTATTACTAAAGTGTTACGAAGATTAAAAATTTTAGAATTAGAAGTAGTTATTATTACTTAAATACAAGTAGAAAAATTATCAGAAAAAAGTTACGACTTAAAAAAATCATTTTGCAAAAAAAATATATAATGAAATTTTTTTAAAATATATAACTAAAAAGTTGTTCGTTCACAAGGAAAACAATTTTAAAAAAATTTCTCTCAGTATTAAAAAAAAAGTCTCCTTCTTTTTTTGAAGAAGAAGATGCGCTTTTTTCTAGCTTAATCGGAGCTTTAACTTTATTAATAATGCAGATGTATTGTCCGAAAAAGCAGCTTATGAATACCGCAAACAGAGTTGGACAACAAAACTATATATATATATGTATATAGTTCGGTGAGATGGCGAGGGAAAAACTCCCGTCTGACTATGAAAGCTGCTTGGGTATTATGTCGGATTTTGCGGTTACCATTGGTTCTCAATGTAACTACATTGTGACTCAGCCATGGTACCATCAGGCAACATAGTTAATACGTGCGCACCTCTATATATATATATATATAGAGCGTATACCATTTTCGATTCATGAGTCTCTCAACAAAACTTTTCTACCCTGTTTATAGGAAGTGAAATTGTCAAACGCTTTTCATCCTTTTCAACCACTAAATTTTTAATTCATTTATAATATTTATAAAAAGTTAGATTATGTCATAAGACTCTCAATTTTATTTATGAAGCAAAATAAAAGTTTCAAATCATTTTATTAATATTGATTTATTATTTACAATATTGCAAAATTTTTTTAAATCAGTATATATAAAAAAAAATCTTCACCTGGAACAGCGATAACTTTCTCTGAAACAGGGATATATTTTTCTGGTATAGCAAAAACTTTTGCTGTTTTAGTGAAACATATCGCTGATCTAGGTAAAGATTTTTTTTTTTTTGCACACAGTTTTACGCATACAAAATTTTCCTTTACTGTCAATGGAAAAAACTTATTTTAGTCAGACAAAATATAGTCAATGATATGTTACTACAAGTAGAAAAAAATATTGTCATTTAAAAATTTAATAAATTTTGTCTGACTGGAAAATTATATTTTTACATAATTGTACCTACGATAATAATCTTTGGCAAAATTAGAAAATTACGTCAACATCATAATTATTGAAATTACAAAAAATTATTTGTAAATAAAATATTTCGTAAAGAAATATAAGAATTTTTGATAAGGAAAAAAATATCAGTAATTAGAGTTGTATTTATCTATCAAATGACAAAAAACTGATTAGGTGATATTACAAATTCTTTTTATTTTCTTCTTTTTTTTTAGTAAACAAAATTGCTCTAGTTTTGAACTTTTTCTCGTTAGATTGGTATGGGTTTTGTGGAAGGTAGGAAGGAAGGCTTTGGTGCAACTTAACGAGCATAATACACGTCAAAGTTCTCTCTGAAAGTGGGCACACCTGGTCCTAGTATACGAGCGGAGACTTCGTCGAAAGTTGGCCAAAGTTTGTGGTAAAGTGCGTGATCCAGAGAGTCATGTTAAGCTACGGAAGAACGGATCTGGTTTACTTACTTAAAGGAAAATTTACAAGCACACGTGTGTGTATTGTAATCTAACGCTATAAAAAGTGTCAAATTTTTTCCATATCCTTCGACTTATCTTTTTAAATTATTTTTTTATTTTTTGTTTTTTCTAGGTTTATTATTTTTTTGATTAATTAAAATTGTTTTTAATAAAATTTACATCGCTCGTATTATTGCGAGGAAAAAATGTAAGCAAATGAAAGCAAATGTAAGCAAAAGGTACAAAAAAAAAGGGATCAACAGGGGAAAGAAGATATCTAAAAGGGTACAATCGTAAATTGGGGACGTTATCGAACGCGAAAGCCAAAGTAACGAGCCAAACCCGTCAATCTTTTCGTTTTCTCCTTGTTACTAAATCTCCAGTGAGAATCCATTTCAATCCTCTATTTTCCATTAGAAAAGGTAAAAAAAATATTTCCAAAAGAAACGAAACATTTTTTTTTCCTTTTAAGTTTAGGAAAAACAGTAAAATACTTTTTTAAAATTAAATTCTATTTTATAAAAACAAAATTCTTAATAAAATCAGATTTTAAAATTTTCTGACATTTTTTAATATAACATTG